ACCAGTGCTCTTGAGTGATGGTCAGTCGTGTTTTGTGAGTCGAGGCCAAATCCAGCTCTGAGGTTAGCAGCCAGCTGACTCAGGGAAGTGCTGAGCTGTTCAGTGGAGCAGGTCTGAGCTCTCAACTTCTCTCCTCGAAACATGGAGAGAGTTTGTAAATTCATGCCAAGCCGGAGCGAGAGCTGTGGGGCTGTCGTTACCCAGATCATTCTTTTTTAAAGTACAAATAAAGGGAGCAACATTTCATCTGAACACCTGGACGCTGTATTATGCTTTTTTATAGCCAGCCCCAGGGTGCCGGGAGCTGTGGGCTGCTCTGCAAGGTTCTCTGTGCTCTGAAGCAAGAAGAAATAACCATCCTCGTGGAGAAGAACAAATGCATTTTGGCTCAGGAGGGAAGGAGGACTGGAATGGGAATGGAGAAGGGTGTTGGTTGAGCACTGAGCTCTTAGATGCCAGCATTGCATGACGGCTGTCTGCAGCGGCGACAGCAAAGTGCCAGACCCCGATGAGATTCGTCCCTGTCAAAGCCAAGAGGAGCTGAACCAGAGAAAACGCTGAGCAAAGGTGATGTGTCCCCAGAGCCTCACCACCGGCCTTGCCGGGACCCGGGGCAGGGGCTCGCTCAAGAGGAGCTCGTCACGGGTCAGCAAACGGCGCTGGAAGGTTATTTTACAAACGCGTCTCTGCTTTTGAACTTCTTCCAGGGTTTGCAGCAGTTAATGGCAGGAGATGATATTGCAGCGGGAGAGCAGAGCAGTGATGCAGCCTGAGCAAATGGCTTTTGTCAAAGTTTCCATGGCAGGGAGCTGTGGAGCCACACGCCAACACGGCCGCCCTCGGTCCGCACGAACGTCGAGGGGTTATTCTGCCAAATCCCTCTATGCGTGAAAATACCTCCTCCTGAAAAAGCAGTCATTTCAACGCCAAAAACCCATAAACTTGTCCAAAAGTTAACTTTTTTACACCCCCTTCAGAGGAAATCCTGCTGATGGCTCTGCTCCAGCTTTCCCTGAAACCTGGGGCCTCGAGTCATCAGTTCGGTGGTCACTGGGGGTTGATGGTGCCTGTGTTGTGCCTCTGCTGTGTTGCAAAATAAAATCTCCCGGAGTGGCTCCTTCAGAGGCAGCACAAACCGCATCAGACACCCAGAGCTGTGGGCTTGGGAGGACCCAGAAGTTTTCCATGTCCACAGTACAGAGGGGACCTGGGAGCCCACACCACCCACCCACCTCGCAGCGGCCACAGAGACAGAAGCTGATGAAATTACCCAGCGCAAACAAGACACGAGCGAGTGGGGCCTCTGCTTCCAGCCCTCAAAAGTCTTTTTAGCAGCAAACCGGCATCTGACTGCGAGCAATTCATCAGGAGCGAGTGGATACTGCTTATGACAGAGGGAGTCGTAATATTGCATTACTTCATTTATTTAGCACCTCTCCTCTAATGCCCAGGGG